GGGCCCCTCCAGCAGCCGAATCAGAGGAGGAGGAGGAGGAGGAGGAGGCGTGGGAGTCAGGGTCAGCATCAAGGCAACCTCAGCGCTCTGGGTGGGGGGGGGGAATGGATCTGGCAGAGAGAGAGAGAGGCAGAAGCAGATCCTGGGCCATCCGTCAGCCCTCAGATGGAGAGTCAACAGCCCCCACGTCTGGAGGTGGCTGATGAGGAAGAGGAGGAACAACTGGGACCAGTGCCTGAAGAGAGAGGAGAGCAGTGGAAATCGTTGGGCTGGTCCTTGGGACGGAAGAGCCACCGCTGCTACCGAAACCCCACCCTAGCTCTGGGGATAAAAGGCAGGAGGCAGAGATCAATAGATGTGGTAGACAACTATTCACCTTCCAGACAGATAGAATTGTTAGCCTGTGGTGAGAAAGAAGCTTTTTGCTGGGGCTGCTGGGGCTGCTCATAAAGGAATCTTTGAGTTCCCTTCAGAGGGTATGTCGTGTATGGGGAGCTGGGTCAGAATAAGGCCATACTTTGTGGCACAAGTGGCACACAGAGCAGAAGCTGAAGTAACAAGGAGGATGGCCCAAGAACCTGGTGCAGGTCCTTCTCATGGACAAATATTAATAGGTTCTTACAGAAGATTAAATACTATCTTGTCTTCATTTTTATTTCTCTTTTAGATCTCAAGCATCTGAGCACCTAATTTGGCAACTCTCATTCCAAGTCTCTTTCCTTCTTGCATCTGTCAATGTGGGAGGGTTTGTAGCATGATGTCCATTCAAAGTAACCAGAAAATCAGCCATGTCCACCTTCCACATGAACGCAAACAAACACCGTGGTCAGAACTTACCTACTCTTACTTTGTTACTGACCTCTTCTAATGCTTGGAAAGTTTAAAACAAAGGTTGCTCTGCAAACAGTGAAAAACAAGCGGCTGCTCATGGTTACCAACTAGGAAACACACATGGTCCTTCGTAACAAGAGAAGCTTAAGCACATTTACTGACGTGGTTTTCCCATGATCTTTAGAAATTCTCTACAATGATTGTTGGTTTTCTTCAACCGGATGCCCCAAAATGTCTTGTGGCACATCCACATTTTCCTATGAAGAATGTATCAGATGTGCTTCCATCCAAAAGTAACGTAAAAGGTCACAGCCCTACCTCTACAATTTCCACCTTCCTCTCCCAGATCCTGAGGCTGTTTTCTAGATCGTGAACAGCCACCTTCTCGTGAACGTAGTTGAGAACAGGAGGAACTTTGTATTCTGCCAGTTGTCGCCGTAGTTTTTTGTTCAGGGTCTCAGCCTTTACCCGTTCCTGTGAAAGAGACAAAGCGCCCTGGGAGGGATCCTGATCTTGGCCCTGACCTTTTGCCTACCATGGATCCACGTTAACTGGGACTCAGGATCTTCACAGCACAGGAAAAGGATTAAACCCACCCGCCCTTATCTTGTTGCTTCCTTAAATACTTTGAAGAAATGACGTTCATCGTGACACCTCATGAGTTCCTAGGAAAATCTACGGTTGGGGATCAGGGAATTCCAACACGGTCACCATTTCCATTTCCCGATTCTCTGTAGAGCAGTCTGAAAAAGCCCACCTGTCTTCCCTCCTGCCGACACAGAAATGCCGGGAACAAGGACTGAGAACGGCTGTCCTGCTCCAGGTGGCCTCTGTTCTTGCAAGCCCACCCACCCCCCTTGAAAAAACTGGAGCAGCTGCCCCAGGACAGGAAAGGAGGGCATGGATATTCCCCCCTCATGGTTGTGCTCAGGCGAGCAACTGAGCAAGAGAAGCCAAGCCCTCAAGGCCGCTTGTGGGTGGGGGCAACCGAGTTCTCTCCAGGGGCAGAATGGGCTACCCCAAGTCCCACAGGGCTCCAGGGCTCCCAGGTGGCAACTGGCTTTGGGGCCATTTTTCTCGCATCGTCTAAACCAGGAGGAAATCGGCCGAAGAGGCAGAGAATGGCAATCCAGGAAGGGAGCAGAAGTTCTCCAGGAGTCAGTAAACTGCTCTGTCTTCCGAGCGGGGAAAGCCGCGGCTTCTGTGGCTCAACAGGCACCGTGTCTCTTTAACTACAGGAGATCTGCTTTCTCATTATCCAAATTTGCCCTCTACGGTTTTTAACACTTTATTCCCACCCTGAAGCATCAAAGATGGCGAGGCCGTTCAGTCCAAGGATGACTCTTTTCATTTCCTGCCCAGGTTTTGGCACATATGGAGCTTTGGCTTGTTTGTTTTAATTTTAGGGCCTGGATTGGTCTATAATTTGATCCACACTGATTGAGATACCTGAGGAATCAACGGCAGCAGTTAAAGCAAGAGGGGAAAAAGTAAAACCACGGTAAAGGTTGGATCAGGTGGCTCGAAATGTCCCCTGGAGGTGACCTGCCTGCCTCCCCAGAGTGAACCAGCAGGTCTTTCTCTTCCTGGCCCCTGCTGGAGCCCCCCTCTTCCCCCTACCTCTTCCACAAGGACGGCCTCGCGCGCAATTTTCTCCAGGGACTCCTTCCTCTGCGCAATGTCTTTCACCAGGTAGGTAGCCATGGCTGTTGCATAGTGCAGCTTCCTCTAAAATAGAAGACGATCCAGAGGGAGGCATCACTGTCAAAGTACAGACAGGTGAACGTACCTTGGTTGGACAAAACCTCCCAAGACAGCCAAAATACGGGATGGATTCTGGTTGTTTGGGGAGGGAGGGCAGCCTTTCAGGTTTCCCGTTTCCTCCTTAGTGGTTCCCAGGAACACCCTTAGTGGTCTCCTATCCTCCACTGATCTCCCCCAGAGGACCGAGTGGGAGACCCGAGGTTCTCTTGAGGCTGAGCGACGAGGATCCACATGTGATGCAGAGATAGGGTGATCTTTTCGGGACCCCGTCAGCAGCCCTCTGGGGATGACTCAATCGCCTGACCTTGTAGAAGTTGAGGATCTGCAGGGTGTTGCCAACAGTCAGTTTCAGCTGCAGTAAATCTTGGTTCCGTTCATCTATTTTCTCTAGGAACTGAGCATTCTCAATCTTGAGCTGCTGGAAATCGACCTCATGTAGCGCCTCTCCCAGCTCCTCCTTCTGCAAATCAGCCACAAATTTTGATAGACAGGTTCCCATTTGAAGCATTTCAGAGCCAGCCCAGCCTGACCAGGGACCTTTTGCTAGATCATTCTTTCATTCATGCTTCACTGCAGCAAAGCCATATTCAGACAAACACAGAGCGGCCTGAACTGCCAGAAGGGGCTGAAAAACTCTGGCTGCCTGGACTGAGAAAAGCAAGAAAGTTTCTGGAGTGGGCTAAAAAGAAGGTGGGAGGAAAGTGCGGTGAGTGACAGCACAACTTTAAAGTGCAGACCCAAAAATGTGATGCAAATACGTTGCTCATCTGTCCTGCACCAAGTGAGGTTAGGGCCAGGTTAACTTAACTGTCCATTTTCACCCCACTCTATCATCAGCCAGAGTTGGTATTTGTCGGTTCACAGCACTACTCAAAATGTCTGCTACCGGTTCTCCAGAACCTGTCCGAAGCAACTGAATTTCACCCCTGGTCCTACTGAACTAAATAAAATCTTAGAGGTTTTGACTTCTGTTTGCAATTTGTTTCACAAAGCATTATTGGCATAATTAGAAAGTTATTGTCTGAACCTCTGCAGCTTTAGCCACAAATCCGTTGTTTTCCCAACCACAAAGCCTGCAAGAGACAGTTGGAGGATTTGGGTAATAGCTGAAGTCTGAATCTTCATTAAAAACTACTTTGGAATCACCCCAATTTAAAAAGCTAAACCTACATTTATTTCAATAGGCCACTGAAGAATATTGCTAACACAGAGTGTAGCGGAAGAGGCCCTTTGGGATAGGAGGACCCTCACTTGTATCTAGAAGAATGTCGAGGTTTTTGTCCTCTTCAAGTGAGACCTTTCCTGCCCTGCAGCCGGATGCCCAGGCCAGCAACCAAGCCTTTCCCACCTCCCAGCTGCTCTGAGCCATGGGGGGACGGGGGATGGGAGGGGGCAGGGGGGCATCTGAACAGCACTTGCTCTGACTTGGATTGCTAGCTTCCTGCCTCAGTGGGGGAAAAGCCACCATTCTTTTGTGGGGAGGGGGCCTTTGAGGACACAGGATTTCAACGGGAAGCCCTCCCTTGTTTTCCTCTCGACTTTTGCCCAATCGGCAGGAACCCTTGGAAGAAGAAAATGACCAGGGCTTCAGCTGTCCTGCAGCCCAGAGCCAAAGGGCCACCAGGGATGGAAGGAAGGGGCGCTCCTCTTGCAACACACAGGGAGGGATTGCCTCACAGAGGCGGGTTGCAGAGCCTTCGTGCGCCAGCACAAGGGGGAAAGCCCCCTTTCTGAAGGGCAACAGGGAAGATGGGCAGAGGTTGCTTCCCGGTGGGAGCTCAGAATGGAAGGGGCGGTGGGAATGAAACATTGGCCGGAGGGAAGAAACTTGAGTCTGGGCCAGAAATGCAGTTTGAGAAAGCATCTCAGGCTGGGCCCTCCCTAATTCTCAGGAAGGCACACCCCAGGATGTCTCTGCAAGATTATAATAAAACTAGGTTTAGTATTCATGACTTTGGTTTCCTAATCTGGTCTACCTCAAAGGGCTGACAATGTGCTGTGGGGGAAAGTAGAGGACACGCCCTCTCCAGCCTGGACGCGGGAGCTAATTCATCAGAAGGTTCCCTATCATGCTTGTGGGACACGGGGTAGGGTAGATGGGAACTTTATGCTGGAATTATTTTTGAGGGGATTCTAATGCCTAGGATTTAAGCGGACCTGTTTTTGTCTAAAATTCACATTTTTATTGATAAGTTTTAAGAAAGAAAAATAAGAATTTAAAATGTTAGGGTGATGTCTAATTATATGTCACAAATTGGAATTCATCCATTTATGAAGAACTTCATCTTATCCATCTGGAACTCTAGTTAAAGCCGTAATTAAGTTCTGGGGCGAAAGGAATTCTCCCTCCAGAGCTGAAATTCTGGGTTGAAGGAAAATGTTCACCTCTGAAGCCAAAGGCCCAGAACGCCCACTTGCCGATTCCATCATGGGTGAAGCTAGGCATTTATTTTAACACACGCACATCTTCTTTGGTTGGATTCCTCCTCTCCTGTTGTTTTCTTCCTCTTTTTCCCTCTCTGTGTGAGATTTCTAAAAGCATCTACTGTGTAAGTAAGGCTTTGTACCCTTTGGGGTTTGTGTTGTTTCTACATTAGAGATAAAAAACTAAAGGGTTCGGCTGGCATTGTCAGGAATGGTCTGTACCTGCTTGAGTTGCATCTGCATCTTCTTCTTCTGAACTTTTAGAGAATCGTTTTTCAAATGGATTTTTTCCTTCATAACATCCTGAAAAATAAAGCAACCTGACTGATTTTTCAGACTTCTTCCTTTGGGAAGATCACTTCCCCTCCCATATTCAATCAAGACACACATGGTGTATCAGGGACCTGGGACAGATTTCCACAACCTGGTAAGGCAGAAAGCCATTTGTCCAGATTGGGGTTTGTGTAATCCATGAAGTTTAGGACTACGTCACACAAACTTTATATTGAGTTACATTTCAATTAAGACAGCCCTGTAAAGGCACTACTGCTGGTTTGCTCATGAGCACGCTGTGTGAGCGCATTTGATGCGCACTGTGTGTGCATGCCAACTAAACAGCTTTCTGAAAGGGAAAAAAAGTTTTTACACTTGCAAACCTCCCTAAAATGGCCCGTTTTTTGCAAAAACAGTCCGTTTTTTTGTCAAAAAAATTGCATTCATAGCCTTATGGAGGCTTATAGAGTGCTGCTGGGGGGGGGGGGAAACAGCCCGTTTTTCGCTAATTTCTGTCCACCCCAGCCCCCAGGAGCTGTCTGAAAGCCTCCATAAGGGTATGCACGGCCATTTTGGTGAAGGGGGCGGGGCTTCGGGAGGCAAAAAATGCTGTATTCGGTGTATAAGATGCAGCCAGAATTTCAGCCTCTTTTTAGAGTAAAAAATGTGCTTCTTATACTCCCAAAAATATGGTAATTACAATGTCCTTATTTTCTATGAAATAAAAATATGTGAAACACCTTATATTTATTTATTTAATCTGGCCAGATAAAAAATTCATAAACAGAAACCAGGTATGCCTTAGATGGTGTCAGTTAGCCACAATACTCGGAGGAGGAGGAGGCACAGGATCAATGGAAAGGACATTCCTTATTCCAAGACAGATTGCTTCCATTGGCTCAGGGATTACTGCTTTGCACAGTTTATAAATTTACATGTCAATTACTGGTCAAGAGCAGCATTCTCATTTTGGGAGGGTTTCAGGAACTTGAAGGAGTGATGTCTGTTCCTCAATTATTTGGGAGGCTTAAAGCACCCTGAAACCTCCAAGCCCAAACTTCTGACCTCAGTTTGGGTCCCTGAAAAGAATGACCACCCTTTCTCCACATTTTACGGCTCCTGTGAGAATTTCCCATCTCTCCATACTGTACAGGACTTGGAGGTAGTGAAGCTGTGACTACCATTAGGATACAGGTAAATCAGGAAGCAAGATGATATATTCTATTTATTTTGTTTTGTTGCTGTTATTGTTTAATCAACTTATATCCCCACTCGATTTACCAGCTGCAATTCTAGGAAGTTTAGATAGGATTAAGAAAAGATGAAAAATAAAAAGAGAGAACAAAATACAACCAAGACCATTCACAGGGATAATCTCCCCTTAGTGGCACAGTGGTTAGAGTGCACTACTGCAGGCTACTTCTGCTGCCTGCTGACAGCCTGCAATTTGACAGTTCAAATCTCACCAGGCTCAAGGTTGACTCAGCCTTCTGTCCTTCCGAGGTGGGTAAAATGAGGACTCAGATTGTTAGGGGCAAGAGGCTGACTCTGTAAACCACTTAGAGAGGGCTGTGAAGTACTGTGAAGCAGTATATAAGTACATATTCAATATATATTCAATAATGGAGGATCAAGTAGGCAGGGGATTTCCAAAATGGCAATTATATTTTTATGGAGCTTTATAAACTGATATTTTTTTTTGGAGGGAGTTCTAATAAAGGAAAAATAATTCAATAATTCTCTGAAGGCAATGACAATTACAGATATCTAAATGTGTTTCATTGTTTGGCACATACCAAAGATCAGGAACACTGTAAGAATGCCAATGGGAAAAAAGATCTTGTGTTCACATTCACCAATGTCAATATAATTTATAAGAATAAAATGAGAATAACTGATTAACTGCCAACTTTCTCTACTGACCCTAGAACGAATCTGGTCCTCCATATATCGCAGCACCTTATCAGAGGCAATGACGCTCCCTTTCTTCTTAGTTATAGTTTTGACTATGTCTTTGTCAAACTCCATCATAGCTCTCTTAATTTCAACCAAGCGAATATCTGCTTCCTCTAGGATAGCCTGAAGAATTGAAATTAAGTTGGAAATAAATACATGATACATTTCACTTATTTGCTGGGGGTGGGGGGAGGCCTTGAAGCTCAAGGTAGCCAAGCAAAGCAGACCCCCTTACATAGAAGCCACCACCACCAGCCACAGCCACAAAGAATACTCCCCTTGTTACAGCTCAGGGATGGGTGACAGCCTGCCCTCCTCAAGATAGTAAAGTACAACTTCCAGACCTGGTGACACAGACTGGGAAATACAGTCCAGTCCAGGGTTTCTCAACCTTGACAACTTTTGAGATTTGTGGACTTCAACTCCCAGAATTCCCCAGCAGCCATTCTAAGGAAAATGTTACCAGGTAATTCTGCAAGTTCCTTTCTGAGTTCTCCTTCATCAGCTGCAGATCTTCCTTGGTCTCTTCCAACTCCCGCTGCACCAGGTCACATTTCTGTTCCACCGTCAGGCATATCACACGATCCGTTGTGATTCGGGATTTCGACTTGCGCCTGCCCCGCGGCTACAATCCAAAGGCACGGTCCTGAGCCACCCTCCAGCAAAAGCCAAGTTTTGGGCATTTAGAATTTGCCAAACTAATTTTCAGATTTCCTTTTTCTGATTCAGTATTAACTTTCAGATTTGTTAAGAGACAGTGGGTACAAATATGACTTAACATCTCGCCATAAAACTTGAAAAATATTTTCAAATGTAAATATGGAAACAATTAAAATAACCCATTCAACAATTCCAGCAGCAGCATATTCTACACTGGGCCCAACAGGGAGGAATCTGAATTAACCACAGGGGTTAAATTTATCTACAGGAATACCTAAAATATGTCTTGCTGATGATGGAAGGGAACAGGATAACCCAGTTAATGGGTTGAGCCCTATGTTGTTATGTACATATGTGCTTGTGAGCACCTCAACCCATCTGCTAGGCTCTGCATTCGCTGTGACTCTCCAAATGTCTCCACAGCTTCCAAGTTCAACACATGAGTCACCAAAGCCAGGTTTTTTCCTCCGGATAGAGACGCAATTGCTTTCTCAGCTGAAGCCAATAGAATGCCTTCCTCGCCACAGATGTATCCAGGGCAGGGCTGTCAAACTCCCGGCCCAGGGGCTGGATGTGTCACATGCTGGCCACCCCCACCCATGGTTTAGTGAAGGGGGAATCCTGATACGTCACCTGACAATGCTGTGACAATGTGAGTTTGACACCCCTAATCTACAGCCTCCAGATCCTTAAGGAGAAAGCAACTCCTTCCAATAATTGGCATTTTCCCCAAATCCTGAAATACAGCCTCCTCCATTTTGAGACCACTGAGTTAATCACATCCACTTCCTTACATTCAGACATTCATTAGCCATGGAGATGCCCAACTTTGAGTTCATCATAAAGGAGAAATATGGCTGTCTACTATTAGTTCCAGAGTTGTGAATGAGCCTTCCAAGTAGCTAAATATTGATTATTTACATTTATATATAAATTTATATTTATATTATATTATATTTATAGAGGATGTAAGACAATAAATAACCTTGAATACAGCAGAGAAAAATTCCCAAATGACTAAGCAGAATTTCTCCAGTATTATTTTCGGGAAATGAAGAGGCAGAACTATCATAAAGTGGAACCTCAACTGGTAGCTCCCTCAAGTATTCCAGCAAGAATTTAAAGCCAACAACACCAAAAACCATAGAGTGTTCAAGATTAACAAAAAAAAGATCACTATTTTTCTCCACTCTGTAAAGATATGGGTGACCAATGTTGTCTCCATGTCTAAATTCAGAATGAAAAGGATCGTGATAATCTACTTTATTTCCCTAAGTCTGGGTAAAATATAGGATACTGGACATTAAGCTGATACTTAAGATTAAAAGATGATTTTCTAAGCAACAATATCACTGATGCATCACTTAAAAAATAATGAAAATCCACCTGCAAAAAAGCAGCATTTTGGGAGAAACACAATAATCATTGGTCAGATGAGTTATTTGGAGGGAGGGTCTTTTATAAACAAAGCCAGGGGGAGATCCAAAATACAAATGTGAACTTCTAAGCCATTCCTTTAAGTGCTTCATTGTGAATTTGATTCAAATAAACATTACTGGGTGGATGTGAACATAATCAGAACTTGATGGCACAATATTGGTCAAATTGGCTTGAATGCATGTGCTATTTTATTCCAAACAGAAGGTGCGGCTGCTCCATCACTGCAGACTTTTAAGAAAAGACTGGACAGCCACTTGTCTGGAATGGTATAAGGTCTCCTGTTTGAACAGGGGGTGGACTAGAAGGCCTCCAAGGTCCCTTCAACTCTGTTATTGTTATGATGTTGTCACAATCCCACTTGTATTTTTTCCTTTCTGTTCTTCTGACCATTGCTACAGGCTTCAACATGAGTTGGGTGCTTAGCAGCCATTTAATCAAATGTTCAGGGGACTCTGATGTTCCATTTCTCACCCGTGTTACTCATAGGCAGCTGACCAGGTTGGAGAAATTTGGAATTGAGTAGGATTCATAAATCTCCCTGCCTGGACTCAGCTAATCCAGGCTCCATCCTTGCTGTGGAAAACGGCTGCAACAATCCGAACCTCACCAGGAACTGACAGTGTTGGACAAGGAATGGGGAATCCTCAGTTCAATCCACTCTAAGCTGCCTGTTGACAGTCCTAATTTTTCAGCCTGACTTTACTGGGCTGTTGTGGCCAAAAAAATCCCCCAAAGCAACACCCTTACATGCCACTCTGAGGCTGTGGAGGAATGGCAACTTGAATCTAGCAAGCATCGAAAGCGATCACTAGATTGTGTTTCCCAAAGGGTGGGGAATCCTTCAGAGGAGAGTAATGTGTTGCACAGCGTTTTCAGCAGCGCTCCAGAGTCATTTTAAAGCAAAGCAATGAGATAAGGGGAAACTGGCCTTCTCCATCTCCCCTGTTTTGCCAGAGGGACCTTTCCTGAGCTCCTCCCGGGCTTTTGGCTTGTGCCAGGCAGCCAAACCTGACTTCTGACCCTGCTCCACCCGCCCTGATCACCCGAGTTTGACAGATTTCATGATTTGCATAGTTGCAGGGGCAGGGCGGAGGGTGCTCCTAAATTTAGGCTACCATGAACAGGTTGGGATTGCACTGCTGAAATGCAGACTCTTGACTGCCATGGAGAAATTATATTGGAGTGAAAGTTTTGGAGGAAAGATTTAAGATAAGGCAAATCTTAACTCAAGTAAAACAATAAAAATAGAGCATTTCAGGGTGAATTGGCAAAGTAAATTTAATTGTGTGGAGGAGTAAAAAAGAAGGAAGTTAAGGGGACCCAAGTGTTAGATGAGAAATCAGCTAAACCAGGTTAGTAAAAATCTAATGGTTGCATTTGCACAATGTAGTTACTTTAGTTTTCATTTCAACAGTATTTTAAACCCTAAGACCTGTGTGAATGCGGCCCTTTGGGTTGAACAACAAAGACTATGGATACATTCAGTCACCAGTAAGCATGTGGTGCAATTCGGAAACCTATCCCATCACTAAAGTGGCAGCACTGTAAATTATTACATGGCTTACATATGGTGTTTGTCCCAAGTCCAGCGATGAACCGTGTCTTTCTCCTACCACGTCTTTTGGCTCCAATCTAGTGAAAAATTTCTCAAACATTTCTGTTTCAACTTTGAACATGGCGTTGGTGTGGCTGAAGACAGAGAGAAAAACTCAGTGAGTGAACTTAGAGGCACGTGGCTCATCCAGACATCACAAATGAGAAAAAAACGCCAGTAGCACTTGAGCAAATTCTGAGAAAGACAAATTCCTTTCCTCAATCCAGCCCTTTGAAGGGTTTTAGGCATGTAGACCACGGACAGACCACCTGTCAGATTAGGAGCAGCAATGTAAATCCTGGAATGGTCACCACTGGTGATTAGGTGACGCTGGGACACCGCAACCTCTCTAAATATATGCTAGTTGCCAGGCACATAAATTCTGACCACATGACTGTGGGGATGCTACGACTGTCATAAGTGTGAAGACCAGTCACCGCTATAGCAGCTCTGTAACTTTGAACAGTTCTTAAATGAATGGTCCATAAATCGAGGACTATATTCCATAATCAAAACCAAGCAGTACACTAATTCAAGTTACCTTCTATTTATCTCAACTTAGCTGAAAAGGAAAAAAAAAAACCTTGGAGAATTCTGCTTTACCCACACCTGTTTTCTCCTCTTCAAGCAATCATTTCTCATCCATAGAATTAGAGCTTTGAATATCTAACCAGCCCCCTCTCATTTTATTGAGTTGCAACTCATAAGGTTCCTTGGAAATGGGCTGGGTGAGCTGAATTTTTGATCTAATGAATTCTGTGGCTGATCAGATCTTCTATCTTTAAAATGGTTAGGGACTTACGTGTTTTTATATTGGTTTTTAACCACTTTTTATTGGATTATTAGTCATAAGTGAGGTGGGTAGCCGTACAATTTGAATAAATAATAACAATCATTCCTTGATTCTGGGAGCAAAATATGAAAGTTGGGCATCGTTTTCAGAACAGAACTTGGCTTCAATGGGAGACAGCAGACTATAATATAAAAAACTGTCCCAATGTTGTTGTTGGTTGTGAAGTCCGACCCATCGCGACCCCGTGGACAACACTCCTCCAGGTCTTCCTGTTCTCTACCATCCTCTGGAGTCCATTTAAGTTCACGCCGACTGCTTCAGTGACTCCATCCAGCCACTTCATTCTCTGCCATCCCCTTCTTCTTTTGCCCTCAATCTTTCCCAGAATTAGATTCCCTCTCCAGTGAGTCCCTCCTTCTCATTAGGTGGCCTCCATTCTTTGGGGCTCAGCCTTTTCTATGGTCCAACCTTCACAGCCATCCATTGCAACTGAGAAAACCATAGCCTTGACTAGATGCAGGGTGATGTCTCTGCTTTTTAGTATGCTGTAGAGAGTTGCCATAGCTTTCCTCCCCAGGAGCAAGCGTCTTTTAATTTCCTGGCTGCAGTCCCCATCTGCAGTGATCTCGGAGCCCAGGAAAATAAAATCTGTCACTACCTCCATTTCTTCCCCATCTATTTGCCAGGA